TCAAATTTTATATTTCCTCCAGAGTTAGTTTCATTAATTTGTCTTCCAAGGTAATTCTTAGAAATTGTCAAAATTATTTCAAAACAGATTTGTGAAATATGCTTTCTATATCCTTTTAAATTCTATAAAATCTGTGTTAATGTCTCCTAGATCTTGATATTATAATTTTAAAAATGTATAATTGATATTGTGTAACAGGAAGAAAAGGTCTAAAGGTGCAGGGGAAGTGGGAGGGGTAGGGAAAAGGAAAAAAGCGAAAAGAAAATATATGAGAAAAGGAAAAAAATGGAAACAAAATCTTTACAAATAGGGAACAGTGGAGGGGGTGAAGACAGGGCAAGGGAAGGGGGAAAAAAAAGAACCAAGATACTCATATAAAGGTACAAGAGCCCAATGATGTATGTAACTGTATTTTATACCTAAAATGTATCAATAAAGTTAACAGGGAAAAAAAATCAGGTAGACATCAGAAGTAGAAGGAGAAACTGAAATCTATGGAAATCATAAGAGATCAACAAGGAAATATATGCTGGGTACACAACATAAAGATTTTGTATAGAGAATAAAGATTAATCTAAAAAGTAACTATAACACATCTGCCTCAAGAGAAACACTGAATATAAAACAAGATTCAACTCTTGAGAATATCACTAAAGAAAACTGAAGTGTGGAACAACACAATCAGTAGACTTATCAAAAAATGGAGAATCAGCTTCTACATTTCATACCCATCACCTTTACTTTGGAGTTACCAAAATCCACAGGCCATTAACTTCTTTCCAATATCCAGGAAATACATCGTGCTATTATTCCTGGGAATAAATGTGGTTGTTTTCAAGTAAAATTGAAAAATCAGGAACTTCATGACCAATGAAATGGATGAGAAATACTTTTCCTTTCATTCACATATCAGCACTTGTGAACAATAGCGAGCCAGAAATTTAAACTAATAAATACAAAAAACTCTCACAAAATATTTCCCAATGCAATATCCATGATAGTATTGAAAATTGAAAGGAAGGAAGCCAAAAGAGCACTACTCATAGAAAATCACACTTGGCAAACTTTGGAAAAGTTGCCAGAGGAGGAGAGTGGTCATCAATAAGGCTAGAATAGTTTGTGACAGGTAGAGTAGTTATCACCTGATGTAATACAGTTTTTAATCAAAGTCCTACCTCATTTGGCATGTCTTATCTTGAATAATGTCTACAAACTACCAATGAACCATAGCAATAATGTGAGTAATCCTGCTTTTCATTTGCACTCCTGCAGGAACTGCATGTGAGTACTTACTTCAAGAAAAAATGTGAGTTTAACAGGAAATCCTTTCTTGTAGTTGTCCTTTACAGCAGAATTTCTTCTTCTCTTATTTAAAATGGTAACATATCTAATTTTCATATGATACACTTTAAAACTCCATTTATTGACTAATTTATTCATTATTTTTACTTCTCTGAATATAAGAGGTAAATGGATGCTTGGGAAGTGATCTAACACTGAATTTAATCATAGATAATGTTAATTTTTAAATAATTTTTAAACACCCTATAATGACTTTGGGCCCATGGGGAACTGTTTGTCAATTTTGGAACTTACCATCATCACAGTGAAGCCCAGAGTGGAGGATGCAATTTGTGTATTTGAGATCGCCTATTTAAGCTTATAACAGACAGCATAATTAGATATCTTAACCATGTTCCTATCTTGGGACAAAATATCCAACAACCTCAACTTAAAGGAGTAGGTTTTATGTTGACTCAGTTTTGGTTCATGTTCTCCTGGTTCCAAGGTATAAATTGGATGGGAAAGTGCCAAGATGGAGGAAAATACATTCAAAGCATGGTGGCCAGAGAGGAGGGAAAGGTGGATGTAGCTACAGACATGGCCCTAGTAAAGCATCTGCAGCAAATGCCACCTCCTAGCAGCACATTGAGATATTGAAAATATCAATGCACAAATCTACTGATGTACAGGGCCCACAAAAAACCAACTTTCATACTTAAGACAAATTTAATGGACACCGTAGTATAATATATGGTGTGCTGCTGAAAGAAAACATGGCAAACAACAAAGCCCAGTCTCACCCACACAGAAACCTCATTAAGTCCCAAATCTCCTCTTATTCCTCCTGCTCACTGCACAGCATGGTGAGTAGTGGAGCTGCATGCACTGAGCTGAGAAGATCGGGGTACTGGCCACATTAAAACTGCCATCCTTATATAGGACTGGATGCTTAGGTCTCAGCCCCACCCACAAGGCTAGAAAGGACTAAATGTGTATGTACCAGTGAAAATTAGCATACAGAAACAAAGATTTCTCAACTCATGTGGAGAGGCCCACATCCTGCCAAAACTGGTTCTGTCTACTTCCACCCAGAACTTATGCCTCTAATACAAATTCTACTTCTGTCTTTGGGTATTTGGTCCTGCAATCACCTTCTTGGGGAATGAGGTCTCCCAGATCCTTCCCATGCAACCAGTCCATAGAACCCACAGACCAAAACAGGCTGACCCAGCCTGGGAGTCTCTCAGCAACACACTAGGACTTATGAGACTGACAAAGGAGAATTCTATTCTCTGGCCAACCAGTCTCTCTTGACAGCTCATACAACCCAAACTGTTCTTCACTGATACAAGGCTGCACCATGTTCTGCTGACTGAGCCAAAGGGAAAAAAAAGATAATACACTATCTGCTTAATGCAGTCCAAATGACAGACTAAACAAAACCTTTCCAGGCTTCCACCTAGATCACTGAGTTCACCCAGCCTGTTGGATCAGTGACTTGAATTAGGATTTGCTCCTAGCTTTGCCGAGCTGCTAACATCTATCTACTTACTGTACTCTGGTGGCTCTTTCTATTTCTTGTCCTAGATGTTGGCATCACAGCTCTGTGACTGTACTTCCACATTCAATGACATTTAGAGAAAAACACCAAACCCAAAGAAGAATCTGTGCCCAGGCAAATGTTGAACACAATGCAACAGAAGTACTAAGGTAGTCAGAGGGCAGAAAACTGAATGAGACATTCAGCTTCATGGGACAGACTTTCTCACACAGTCTTTTAATCTAATCATCTTCAGTAAAGAAAAACAAAAGCAATGCCAACAGGGAATATAATTATTTACTGAATGAACAAATTGGCATAATATGTTAGTAGTATTACACAAAGGAATCAAGATGGAATTAAAATTTTCAAGTGCCACAGACTGGCAAGTTACTTTAACTAAAGTCATAGGGAAATCCAGAATTCTAAACACCAATCATGGCAGGTAGGCCAGAATGATAGCTGCAATGTAGCCCCACCCTCAATCACTTCCCTATGATGAGGCAGAGAAAGGTAAAAACTTAATGCAATAATTTTTCAAAATATGCTCTTCCCTCCTCACAGGATGAAAGTATCTCTCCTTTGGCATATTAATTTCACTAAAGAAATATTCTCACCTGATGTTAACTCATGTTTAGACTTCATTGTCACATTGGTTTGTTGGAGAGAAACCTAAGTTGTTAGTAAAGACATGTCTGAAAGTGTCAAGGAAGCATGACCTATGAGATTACATCAGATGCATGGCCTGTTCCTCTCAGCCTCTTTTTCTGCTGAAGACTCTCCATTGGAAGTCTGAAGACTTAATGGTAGGAGCCTGAAGAAACATGAGACCAGCATCCAAAGGCAATGGCAAATACTTGAGCTCATCCACAGAAAAATAAGACTTTTTTTTCCTTTTTATTCCATCTTGGGTACAAGCCTATTGGTTATTGTCAACCACATACAGGGTGAGCCATCCCTCTTGGTATACAAGCCAGTCTTTCACAGAGAATCACAGAACTTTACAATTGGCTAGGAGGTTTT